CAGAACTTTGTGGTTCCTCAAAACACCTCCACATAAACAAAATACAAACTGCACAGTCCAAAATACTTAGAAAAATCGTAATCACATCATACACAGCGACATGAACATTCCAACAGTGAAAACCTACATGCATAACAAATATACCACATTCCACAGTTCAACTATTAATCACCCTAATCCACTTGTTCTCTCTGTTTCTTCCTTCCTGCTACCCGGGGGTGGGGGAAGGAATTTCTTAAAATATATTTTAGGAAATAATAGACAAACCGTGCGACAGCACATTTGTTAGCTGCGTTCAAGCTCAGTTGCAAATATAATGTAAAATAAATTAACACACTTTGATAATCCAAACAGGCTACGTGTTTATATATTATAATTTTATTTCTTCTTACTTTCATGTAACATTAACATAATCCATCGCTGTCTTAATATTTTACCATAGCAGTAAACATTGACTTTGGCAATCAAACTCGCCTTTGCAGTTTATGTATTGAGCATTGATGTTTACCCCGCATACAAATAGATACAAATGATGGAGGGAAATCCGAAGGCGAATGGCCATTGGATCTCTGAGGGAGCCATTGAAGACAATACCCGGCCTACGGTTTGATGATGGGGGCAGGCTAACGATAACAGAGCCACAATACGAGCGGTTAATAATAGTCTTGTGAGGAGAGCAATGTATGCCGCCCTAATCAAATACAGCGGTTGAGGGGGGCCCTATTGTACCGCCCCCCCCTAGCCCCGAGCAATTGCCTTTATTATGCATTCCCTGCCATGGATTAATCTCTCCCTTATCCCATTATATGTACAGCCTAAGTCAGCTTCCTATGTCCTACATTCCGCAATTTTCTTAAGAAATTTTAAATTATTATAAGAATTATGTGTGAGGTCTTTTAGTATTTATATATTATTTCTCAAAGGTGGTTTTTTTCACTACGCCAAAAATCTTCGCTAATTACTCATCAAATCCACTGATTAGTCATGGTTACAAAATATAAAAGAAAATAATAATAATGATAATAATTATAAAAGGCCGTTTTTAGATTTAAAATTTGGAAGATGTGTGGTTTCCAGCAGAGAGTTCGATCAAAAGTAACACCTAGAGTTTTTATGAAAGTATAGAATGAGATAGGTGTATTGTTCAGCATTTTATCTTCTTTGTAATGAGCTATTATTCAAAATTGTATCCTAAAATGACGCCGTGTTATAGAGGTAAAATAGGAAAACATAATATCGAAAAGCAAATGATAATAAGTTTTATTGAAGATTTATATTTTCCCACATTTGAATGTAATGCAGAAATCGCAGAATGTACAGAAAAACTGGGGAATGGATTAGAGCCACCGAAGCGTGAGAGCTCTACGACGGTCGCTAAGAGAATACTCTTTCGAAGAATGGGCCAGCTGCAGATGGCAAGGCGCTGGAGTTCGACACTTCAAAGAAACCACGAAAGCCAATAAATAAAAATGCCAGAAACAAGTGCTTTCGGATTCAGAGTGGTTCAACGCCTTAAAACTAAAGATCAATTACGCACCTTTACCAGAAGTCGAAGGAGTCAGTGGACAGTCGAAGGAAGTTGGGTTCCTCTGTCTTAAATGCGGCAGTCTGAAACACCAGCCCATGTGCTGGAAAAATACCACCAATAACTCCCTCCTCGTAACACGTCGGCACCATAGGGTCAAGATCGAGGTGATGAGGTTCCTTAGAGAAAAGGAATTCACCTGCTTTGACGAGGCCTATTGCATCGACAGTGAAGGCTCTACCAGGTATGCGGATATTGTCGCGTTTCCCAGGATAGGAGTGACATCGGTGATCTTGGATCCAAATGTTTGCTTTGAGAGCAATGACTTCGATCAGGCGGGTGAAGTGGAAAGGGAAAAGAAGAACATATGCGACAAATATATCCCGTTTCTACAAGAGAAATTCCGCGAGACCTTCGTAAAGAGAGAGAGAGAGTTCACCGTGAGTGGCCTCTAATTACGGTCTCGCGGAACAATCCCGAAAAGAACAATGAGCTTTCTCGGGGAACTAGATGTTGATGCTTGGGAGCTTGCGATATTGGCCGAGAATATTATTTTGGACTCTCTGGAGATCATCCACTATCACTTATATAGCAATTGAGGATGTATTTTACTAATTATTTATTCATTTATCAATTTTAAATTTTTATATTAGCGTCTTATCTTTTCATCTACATTAGTGGAATTACTTTGGTATATATGTGTGCGACGTAGTGTTGAATTCCTGGCATTTGAACTTTAAAAAAAATTTTAATTTTTAATTTTTAAGAAAATTTTTGTTTTGCAATGTTTATAGCTTGATATGGTATAGTGTTGATAATTTATAGGACTGGTGTTATGAAAAGGAAGAAAACAAAAAGAAAGGAAAGATGTGTGTGTATTTTTAAAAATAGAAAAATGTAATATAATAGTTGTGTTCACATGGATTGATAAGTATGCTGTGTATGAAACAATCCTATGTAGGAGGGCAGCATTACTTTGAATAAAATATTTCTCTCTCTAAAATATCTCAAAAACTAAAAATCGGACATGCATGTTGTTAGCGAGAAAAATGTTCAGCATTTCATCCTCTCTGTAATGGGCTATTATTCAAAACTGTTAAAAACGCGACGATGTATTAGGGAGGCGAAAAGGAAAAAAAATAGCCTTGTCGATGTTTTTACTTCTATTGTGTCGTCTGAAGCTCACACCTTACCTTTTTTTTTTTTTTTAAGTCTCCCTTATATAAAACATTTCAAGATATGTATCACCCAGAATGTAAATGATATTATTCTTGCCTCAAATACGAGTATCTATTTTATTATTTATATTAATGATATACATGCTTATTGTTGCTCTTAGATTTAATAACGTAAAAACTTCCTAATATATTCAGAAATAATACTTAAAATTATTAGGATACATTTTTTTATTTATTGAAGGTATTTATAAGAAATAATGGAGTATAATTATCTCAATCTGTCGGGAGTAATTAGTTTAAATGTTTGATTAATAAATCGATAGCTAATTGTCCCGAGGTGCGAAGTGTGATGAAATAATTCATTCATAACTCTTCCTCGGTTTATGCGCCCCGTTTGTGCTTTATTCAGAGCCATTAGCATGGCCGAAGTTGGCTAATTGGGAGGATATCCAACCATCGAGGAGTTGTGGTCCCCTTATTATATAATTTAAATGTTCTCTGACCCTGTGGTCCTTCTCTCATGAGCTTTGCGATGGTTCGTTGATCAGGGGTCGAGCACATATTAACTTCAGCATTAGAGAGTTAGAACTTGAACTACAAGGAATATAGTATTAATAATGATATATTATTAATAATAAAGAAGCTGAGGAAACAATGACTAATTGTCCTAATGTTAATCCTAATTGTTCTCTTAATAATATTGATTTATCATATCATATAAAGTTGTGAAATAAAATAATTTATAATAGTTTCGATGATTTTAAATAATGATACTAAAATTTTTTAATATAAAATTTCTCTTTTAAAGAAAGTTATTTAAATTTTCAAAAATACCAATGGATTCAGGCACATAATGATATTTCGTTTCCAAAAAGACCTATATTACAACAAAGAAACGATATTTTATAAACAACACTTAAAAAAAAAACTCTTGATTGAATAGGTTACAAATTTTGTGATATTAAATTAAAAATTCTTATCTCGAACAAAAATAACCATGGAAGCATCGCTTTAAAAAGAGACATCCATAGCTTTCAAACTATTGCTAAGAGTATAGCAGGAGATCAATTACGAAACTATATTTCATTCTAAATAAAATGAACCTTGCCTGCCATCCCAAAGTCGCTAATTTAAAAATGTTGGGGTTGGAGGATTGACTAATATATTTGGACGTAAACGTGAAAAAACAAATATGCTGAAACTGGCCACATCGGAGTAGGCTTTTACAACGAAAAATTCTGGAAATTTCTAGCTTTTCTTTGGTTGTTCTTCATGACACATGATCGGTGCAGCTAAACAAAAAACTTACTCTTTAAAAAAATAAAGAATGTTAAATTCTTCGTTGAAGGAGTACCAGTTAATAATTCGCTTGTATAAGTGATAGAGACTTTCAAGAAAAGACAATTGTTATCATCTTTCTCAAAAATTCATATTTTATTATCGATGATACTTCAGTTTGGAACAATTAGATTCCAAGTGGTCCTCTAACAACTGTATTCATAAAATTCTACGCCCAATAAGTACTAACATTTTCAAATGAAATCAAATACACCTCTCAAAATGTGTTTATTAAATACGTTTTGTTTTGTAAATGTATTAATCACTATTTTAGGGCTTAAAAATATTTGAAGAATCGCACGAGAAAATATGAATGGCCTCGGATATCTTTTTTGACTACTTAAAAAATAACTTCAGGTTCCTAAATACAGAATGCTGTATGTCCCGACGATACGATTTTGTCCTTATCTCTGCGGATTATCGCGCTCTGTGTGACTGCTATAATGTAATAGATAGTAATACCTCTTTATCGCCGCCGACGGGAATATCAGATCGCCAAGACATATCGCTCTCAGTGTCTATAACTCTTGAAATCGCTTTTGAACAGATGGTTCGTCATATTTTGGCAAACCAAGATCCTTAACAAGCTTACATCCTGTATTCTTCCTATCTACTATTCTTTTGTTTCCACATATTTCATATACTAAAAAAATACTTATTCTATCGTTATAATTAAATATTATTTTTATAGTAATTTCATCGATTTTTATAAATATATATATATATATTATATATATATATATATATATATATATATATATATTTAAGGACTTTTCCGCTGCTGTGGTTATTCTTGACCTAAATATCCTTTTTAAGATATTCTTCCATCCTTCCCTACCTATGACTTGTTCTTCCCTAATGCCATTCCTCCCCAGGCTTTCTTCCACCACATCTGAATAAAATAGATAAACTTCTAAAAGTTCGTGATGCAGGATATTAGTAAATTTTAATTATCTTACCTTCGAGGCCAGCGAAGGCTTCAGCATCAATATGGACTATTCCGTTTCCTTCGAGTTCCAGTGAGTTAAGGTACTTGAGGTGGGTGAAGACTTTGGCTGGGATCCTCTTTAGGTGGTTGTGGGCCAGACCCAGGGAATCAAGGTTTGTCAATCCTGGAATCATACGTCATCTATATCATATATGTAACAATTTTGAAGTATTTATTTTCTTCTTTCTTTCACTTATTTTCGAGTTTTAAAGAAAAAAAAAATACAAGTTGTATGTAAATAACTACATTTGAATGCGTATATAAGGTGTCACAAAATTAATACAAGATTTAAATTTTTTTTTTGTTTATTTAATGGAATTTACAACTGTATACAAATACAACAAGTAAATATGCGCAAATATAAATAATGGCATGTACAGGCTTGAAGAGTTACTACCCAGTGGTGGCACTCTCTAAATAATTTTAAGTAAGAAGATCACGAGACCATCTCCTTTTCAGACGCCTAGGAGGATTATCAGAAATCGAGAAAGAAGCAAGAGTGGAAACAAGCGGATAAGATTTAAATTAAATACAAAACACGGTTCTTTCTTCTTTTATTTTTTTTTCTTTGTCCATTTAACAGCTGATAGTTCAAGGTTAATAAAAATGGAGCGTTATACGAGCGAACAATGTGTTTTAATTGTTGAAAAATATTTTTAAAATAATGAAAGTCTTGCGGCCACAGTTCGAAAATTTCGTACAAAATATTGTCGGAATAGTGATTTGACTTCATCAACTGTGAAGAGAGTGGTTGAGAAAGTCAAGCAGACTGGATGAATAGAGAATGTTAAAGATTCAGTGATGTAGAGCAATATTTTAAAAATAATAAAAGTCTTGCGGCCACTTGTCTAAGTCTTGCTTCGGTATTGACAATTAAGCAGATTGTTTTTGGACATTATTTTAAAAATATTTTTCAACAATGAAAACCATTTTTATCAACTGTAAACTATCAGCCGATAAATTGACAAAGAAAAAGAAAACAAAAGAAGTAAGAACTGTGGTTTATATTTAATTAAAATCTTGCGTTGATTTCGAACACCCTAAACAAGGGGTTTTAACTGCTCGAGGTAAATATTGAATGTAATTTTAATTCCGTAAAAAATGTGATTTATTTATCAATTGAAAATCTCTTTAAAAAAATAATAATATAATATTTGTATTGATAACTTCAGAGGGGAAATTCTACTTGAAAAGAATTGTATATAAAATTACCTTCAAAGTCTCCCTCAGCGATTTGAGAGATGGAATTCTCTTGCATTTCCAACTTTTTCAGCGTATCTAAGATAGAAAGGGCCTCTCTTGGAACTCGGTTCAGGTCATTTCCTCCAATATTCAATCTTTTTAGCTTTCTGAAAGAAAGAAAATAAAAATGTTATTTGCTTATGTATATAAAACATTGAAGAGAAGGGTTCATAAGAATACTGAGAAACAGATTCTGAAACAGTCACTACACACACACACACAAAAAAAGAATATATATATATATACCAAGTAGGTATTTTACATTGTGTTTTGATATTAGGTATTTGACCAGTGCATCAGGATCTCATTAATTCCTGCCTTTACTGGGATTGGTAGTGGCGGATTTAATTAAAAAAAAGAAATCTAACGTTTGAACCTCCTGAACGAATATTAATAATGATAATAATTTTAATTAATTATGTATAAAATTTATTTAATTTATTTTATCGTAGACAATTGCGGTATAATAATTTTTTATAGACAATAAAAATGTTTTAAACAATACATAAATGTTCTCTGAGTAAATCGTTTAAGATTATATAATTTTAAATATCAATTTGAAAATGTTTGCTTGATTGTTAGCAGAAAAAACGTTTCTTTTTTTTTTTGCGTTCAGTGATAGTTTTAATTAACCGTTACTAACGTGAAAGTTGTTCTGTTTATCAATTTTAAAATAAAAATGATGGGCATTTTTATTAAAAATTCTACCTTTTGGTTTCTGGAATGTACTAAAAATTAAGCATCTCCTACTAGCAACGGCTTATTCGATTTTCAAGTCTTTTGAACTCAAAATACTGTCAAATTGTTGTATTAAATACTTTCTGGGTGCTCGTTCGAAGGTATGTATAGGACTTTACCTATTTTCAAGTTTGATGGCTAAGATTATTCGGTAAGATTTCGGGAGTGTTTTAACAATAAATTTTAGCTCTAAATAGTGACAAAACAATTTAATCATATTATTGTTTTAATTGCTATTGTTTTGTGTCATATCTTTCTTTAACAAAACAAAACGCAACATGTGTGGCACCACACTGGTATCACTGCATTAAATTTATTTCATACCTATTTATAACTCAGTTTACTTCTAATTTTAAAATATGCTAATCTAATATAAGAAAACAATATAAAATTCATTACACTTGTCGCGTTTTCACCTTTTCTATACAAATATGTTTCATTAGTTTTAGAAATAATAAAGATATCGCTGGAATATACCTATATATTTCTTTCTATTGATGACCTTTACATTAAAAAAATATATAAGCAGTAACCCACTTGCAATTCATATTGAATAAAAACAAGGTGCTATTTTACACATATTCCATATATGTGCCCTCAGGTGAAAAAAGGTTGTGGATCCTTGCAATAGATATTCAACTGAAACAGCTGTTGATATATTGTTAATTTGAAAAGATAAATACAAAAGGGAGGGAAAAAAAAGAATTATTTAACTAGGAGTCGTTGAGGACCATTTGAGACTAATTAAGTTGTGAGGAGACCGAATAAACCTCCAAGATAAACTGTTGCAATTTCTCTAAAGGTCTCCCCCATTTTTTTTCACCTATATTTTTCATTTAATTTTTAATAAAGATCTTAATTTAGGTGCCTGGGGCGAAGGATATTGATGGTGTACCAAAATATTTCACCTTGTAATAAATTATTACAAAACATCGCGTCGTTGTCCCTGTAGCAGAAGAACAGCGAATGATGAAGTGGAATTAAATGAAAAAAAAAAAAGTATTCTGGGACTGACTACTGATACTATAAAATGCTACTGCCAATCTACTATTTCTAGTAATTGTCATTACTATTACAGAAATAATTATTGTGGTAATTGAAGAGAAGGATTGTTGAAGTGATCAGTCAAAATAAAAAATTAAATAATTGTATTTATTTTTACATTTGCCGAGGTTTAGGCCCGAAGTTCACAGGCCTTTATCAGGGCTGGTCGATCCAAGAAGCGCGGCAAGACGCTTATTATTGTTTTAGTTTGAAGATTCAAGATAGGTGGCAAGGGTTGTTTATAGTTGTTTGTAGGACAAGGATTGACACTTGACGATAGGTAAAGAATTCTTAAAGAAAGAGCTTGTATGAATGACGGCAGTTTGCTGAAAGAAGCGGTTTGGTGCGATGGGGAGGAGAGTGTATAGATCAATTGGTTGAGATCAAGTATTTAGACCATGAAGAAAGGAAAGTAGAGAAAGGAGTTCTAGGATGTATCGAGGTTTTTAGGTTCTGAGGTCTCGGAGAAGAAAAACAACTAGCAAGTATTGGTGTCAGGAAGTAAGATAAACTACAACGCTGTATACCAATAAGAAACATGTAGAATTCTGAAGATAAATCTTATAGAACCATTAATGAGCCCTTCAGTCTTATCTCCTGACCAATGGAATGTAGAGAAACGGTGAGAGATGGTATTCAATCACTTTTTGAAAATATCTGAGTAGTACCATGAGTACAGAAGTAGAGGTTTATAATATGAGAACATATTAATTGATTAACATACTCTCCCTCCTTATCTTTTTTTTCTCATATCACTCATTTTTATATATTCTTTTACGCACTCAGATTTTAGTCAGTGTGAGATTTGTTCCTTCGAACAGCTATAGAATTAAAGGAAATAACACTACTTAGAATCTTGTAAGTGACAATGAACGAGCTATTGAAAATTTCTCAATGAGTGAAGAAGGGAAATTACAAGCAAGGTGAATAAAATTTGGAAAGACTGTCATTCAATCAACTCCGTCAGTGCGAAAAGGACAATCATGTTTGGCTACCTCCGAAAAATCTAACGACAAAGGAATGTTAGACGTTCTACTCATATATCGACCAACATGTGATAATGTATATCTCACTGCAAAACACTTTTTCCTGTGTAAAAAATACCGAAAGAAACGGAAAAACCTTAGAATTGAAGAAGCAGCACACTATAAAAAAAACTAGTGGTGTTGAAACATCCCTTAAGTATTTACAATTAACGAAATAAATTGATCTTATTTAAGAAGAACAGTTGTCGCTAATCGCCTTATAAGTCTTAGCGACATTAAATAAAAGCAAATACAAAAAACAAAATTAAAGTCTACTGTAAATAGGTATGCCTGCATTTAAGATGTTTATTTTCATTACGTTTTATTTTTTTAATATAATTTTAATTCTATTTTATTCATTTATTTTCATTCTATTATTACTATTATTTAATTTTCTTTTTTTACTATGATATTTCATTTTGTTCCTTTTGTAGCTTTATATTATTTGAAGTTAGCTTATTTTTTTTTTATTTGTAAATATGGTGTGAATGTGCTCTCAGAACTCTATTATAAATGTCCTTAATTGAGACAGATTGTAATATTCATCAATAAACAAATAATCAGAAAAAAAAGTCTACATGTTTAAAATCGAACTCAGATCCTGGACCATTATTGAGAAATGAAAAAGCTAAATAAAATAATATAAATTCTAAAGGGAAGTTGTTAAACATTTCCTGGAAAATTTTATGAAACAAAAAAGAAAGAAATACCCTTTTGAATACTTTAAATTATTATTATTATTATTATATTTCACAGGCTAAAGTCTTCTGTTAATTAAAAGCATTTTATACCAAACACTTTTCTTTTCTTTTTGTTTTATTTCCATATTTTACCTTATAAGGAAAACATAGCTAATAAATAAATGCCATATTATTTAAAATGACGTCAACTGGAATGAAATATAGTCTAATATCATGGAGGCCGTTGGAATGAATAAGTAGGGAAGAGAGTGAGTTTAAAAGAAGTGAAATAAACGAACCGGAATGACGATGCTCTTTAGTAGTCCCACATGACCTCTTATGACCAAGTCCTCCTGGGGCTTCTATTAAATATGAACCGGCGGGACTTATTAAAAACTAAGTCGCAATTGTCGGAGGCCTTTAGGGAAATCAATGGTATGTCAACTCCCCCGAAGATTCAATTTTTTAAAATATTTTTTTCTTCAGCACAGTCAATCTTCTAAAAAGGTCTATATTAAATGTTTTTATGCCGCTTTAACAGCCCACACAAAACCTTACTAATATGTAATATCTCACATTACGTAACATTACTTGCAAGTAATCTCCTGATGTAATGAACTATTTTAGGAGCATTATAAAGTCTCTTAGGGGTATTTAAGAACGTTTTTTTATGTTTTGTACATTAAGATGATTATGAGAAATCTAGTCGTTACTAAAAAAAAAAAAAAAAAACAGAATAAATAATTGAGCCATTCAGTTAACACAATGACTAACTCCAATTTCAACATTTTTGAATAAAGTAATGCTAGTGATATTTCTACTTGGAAAATTTATAATATCTGTACACACAGTGAGTAAGTTGATTCCAGAGTAGGTAATTGCATTGTTGAAATATTGCACTGTGAATGCAGGTATGAATTTTCCCACCAGAAATATCACTAAAGTTAATAATAAAAAATGATGAAATTGAAGTTAGCCATTCTTTTGATTGAAAGGCTCAATTTATCTGCCATAAGCCGGATTCGAACCTAGGATTTTGAGCATTGGAAGCTTAGCTCCCTACTGAGCTACCCCAATCCTATTTTTATCTTATTTTATTTCTTATCTTAATTTTATTTTTATTATTTATTATTATAATATTCTTCTTTATTTTATCTAATTTAATTATTATTTTATCTGTTTTGTATTTTTATTTTATATACTTAAAAATATTGTAAGTGGCAAATCCTATTAAAACTATTTTTAGATAATTTGAGGCAAACGAATTAAATAGCTATCATTCAGCTTTTAATGTTAATTTTCTGATTGAGAATTTCCAAATTTTTTTCCTTTAAATTTTGTTTTAGAAATACTTATTTTTGAATTTCACATAGTCAATTTAATCGAGACAAGAAGAGGTAAAAATATCGACCGCTCTTCATAAGTTTAGAACTTAGAATTAAGTAAATTGAACATTTTGTTTTAAAAGTTCTTTGATTTTTTCATGGATATTTTTGAACTCCCAGGAGCCTTTAACCAAAAAGAAACTGACTTAAACAGCGTCTATGCGGCCGCTTATGGCTTAATCTGCCCCTGATTATGCATAGAAAACCTATGTGTCATATATAGCTTTGAATATTA